TGACATTGAGCTTTAAAAATGTAACAATATTTAGTAACCTTCTGCCAATTTTAATGAATCTCAAATATAGATTTTCTATGAGGCAATCGAGCTTGTCGTCCTCTTTAGGGTCTGTTACTGCCTGGACTATGAAGCACTGAAATGTAGCGGTAGTCAAGATCTTTTTGAGTTCTCACTATTTGTGCCCGTTTCTGAGCAGCGGTGGACGCTCCAGAAACTTGTACCCTTTGCTAGCCGAGGGGAATGTCAATGGCACTCTTCGGCAGTGCCTCCGAGGCAGTGGCCTGAATTAACAGTGTTACAGTGCTGCTTCCTTTATGTCCACCTCATGTATTGTGCAATAGAAGCCATGCACCACGCCCTTACTCTCTCTTTAAGCCTCGTTTTGTATTGTATGTACCATCGAATTGCGCTCGTCACTCTGCTATATATCACAGCTGCAAGCAGAATGAAGAATGCAATCACTTCGAGAAACCACACCCATGACCTCTTACTTTGAAACTTGGGGCGATCAGGCAAGTCTACATCCTTGAAAGGGTCGTCTTCTTCTTCCTTCACCTCGCCGAGACTGCATTCCCGACTTCAGCTTCTGCGACCGCAGTTGTCCGGACCACAAGTTCCCCGACTTCAACTATTGGGACCTAAGCTGGTCAGACTTCAAAATCCCTGACCTCCGAATGCTTCCGTCCTCAGCCCCCTTCTCAGCTACTAACTTCCTCGGCTCGCAGAATCTCGACTTTGCCCTATTGCAATGACTGCAGGGAACTGCCAAGCTTTTGGTGACAAGTTCCTCATCTCGAAATGAATGCAGCTGGCTAGAGTGGGAGCTTGTAATTCTGCGATGACGAAGACTGCCCATATCTTCGCCAAATTTGTACTTATCTTCATAGCCCCCCGAAGCACATTCACCACCAACTGCTGCATTGAGTCCACCGCCAAATCACACCTTGCAACTTAAATTCCATGATTTTTAAATGATTTTTTAAAAAAAAATCATTTTCATTTTTATATTTGATAATTTTTTGCAGATAGATAATAAAAATTATATATATTTTTTTATTTTTAAATATGTTTTACTTCAAAGATAATGTGCTTAAGAGTTCAAAAGTTTGAGCTTTAATAAGGTTCACAAGTAGTATACATGGATCTCTCAGAGAAGCCACAAGGCCTTAGTTTATCCTCCTTCCTATATCTAAGGTAGGGCAATCCATATGAAACATGTCCACCTTTCTTCTTAGAATTACTATATTAACTACTAATCCTCCTATTTTATATTAGTAAAACCACTTCTTGCATTTTTTTTTACTTTATAATAGTATTTTAAAATATCCAAATAGTGTAAGATCCTTGTTGGGCCTTTAAATCTTGCTCAAAATCTTCATAATGCTTCCTTAGGTGGAATAAACATTTTTGCCAAAGTTTTAAAAATATATTGTAAAAACTCATAAAATATTATAAATAGATTTAAAAAATTCCTATAATATTCTTATAATACTAAAATCAAGTTTAGGCTACTTTTTCTTATCTTAGTGATTTTTTTTTTGTAGTAATAGAAACAATTTAAATGAGCTAAAAATATTATTTTTTATATAAATAATTAAAAAGACATGAAGTTCTTTTGCATGCTTATTCTACATACTAAGTAGTGATAATAGATATAGATAAAAGGCCAATATAAATATTGATCTCAATAACTAAACACTAATTCACTCTATTAAAAAAAATACTTAATCAACTAAGATAATTTCCTCCAATATTTTTATATTTTCTATTTTTACAATTTTTTTTTAATAAGATTCTTGTAACTTATAAATCCTTTTAAATTCTAAAAAATATTTAAATAATAAATATTAATATCTAATATTAATATTTTATATCTAAATAATTTTAAATTATATTTTTGTATCTAAATATTTTTATGATATGTTTAAACTATTACAAAGTGATTTGATAAGTATATAAAATTGATTGAAATGATATGCTTTAAAATTAATTTTAAATTAATTAATTTAAATAATTTCAATATTCATTTTACAACCATTGCCAATTCTTTTATATTACATTGATATAAGATTTAAGACAACATAGAATTGAATAATTATTCTAATTGTATATATTTATTGTAATTAGTGTATATAATTGTTGTAATTTTATTGATACTTGGGCTACAAGTCTTGTTACTTGTTAACCACAAGACTTGTGGATCAAGCATCAAATAAACATAACTAATCAACCTACAACTAATGAATAACTTCAAAATAGAAATTTACTTAAAATATGTTGATTACATTAATTTTTTTTTGAATTTGTATACCAAAAAATGAATAGATTTATATTATTTATTATCTATGTCTAAAATTATAATACTTATATTTATAAAATAATTAAATTTATAAATATTTTTTTATTTAATTTGTTAAAATATAAAATTATTTATATAATATTTATTATAATATATGGCTAGACTTCTTAAGTAAATAGAAGTAGATAGAAATAAGTAGAAGTATGTAAAATATATTAAGTAGATAATATCTTCTTTGAAAAACTTTTGAGAATCTTTTAAAATGTAGGTTGAAACTTTAAATTTTTATAGGTATGTTGTAAGAGTATTAAAACTTGTCCCTCAAGTTTCTTACTTTTAGAAAGCTACATCTAAAGCATTCTACAACTTGATGCTTAAGCCATAAGTCTCATAGGTCTTAGAAAGCTTCTACAAGGTCTTCTTAGAAGCTTGTATATAAAGAGACAAAAAAGAGGCCATCCTTAGTCATTTTAACACCTTTCTTATATTCTATTCTTGATTGAAGACTCTTTAGCTTCATCATATTTAGTAAAAGTCATTCTTATTCTTATCTATCTTATATCTATATCTTTTTTCCTTAATTTCTCTCTTCTTCAATGATACATGAGTATATTGTCTTTAAAGCTTTTTCTAAGTCCATATTCTTAGTATTTTAATGTGTTTAAGATAAAACAAATTATTAATTTTTTTGAAGTTATACTATTATATGTTAGTCTTGTTTAATTATATACAAAAAATAAAATGAATTAAGCTAATTTTTTTGGAAAAAAATACTTTTATATCTTATTGAGAGGAAAGAAAATAAACCATGAAGAGATAGATATAAGATAGAAAAGAAATAGAATGGCTATTATTGAGTATAAAAGAAATTAGAAATCCTTAAATTAAGACGTTGATGGAAAGTAGACACTAACAAGAGTAAGGATGGCCTCTCTCTTGCCTTCATGTATAATCTCTACACAAAAAATCTTGTAGAATATTTTTAAAGATCTTAAGACTTGTGGCTTAAGCATCAAATTTTAGGTTATTTAAGATATTTTTTTTAAAGTAAAAAGCTTGTATGAAAAGTTTTAATAGTTATGTGTCATATTTGCAAGAAACTAAAGATTTGATTTGCTTTTAAAAAAACTTCTTTGAAGTTTCTTAAAAAAGATATAATCTACCTAATATATTATTATTTACTTCTACTTTTTCTTAAAAAAGTATAAGATCTTGTAGAATCTTATAGGAAAAATCTTTGTAGAATAATTTTATAAATAATATTATTAATTTAATAAATCCTTAGATATTTTTAAATAATTCTTTTATTTTATCCTTATTTTTGCTACTAATGTGTAATTTTGATGTTAAAAATATTTAAATCAGAATTTTTGTAGTAAAATATATCAATGATTTAATTTAGAGATAGCCAAAAATCAATAGTCGAAATTAAATAAAAAATATTAATTTGTTGCATGTTTGAATTAAAAGATTAGCAATTATGTCATTCATTATTGCTTAAGTGATTCCTAAATATTTTTATTCTTTATAGCTATACAAAATTTAGAAAAGAAAGAAATGAGGAGCATATACCTTTTGAAGGTTATTAATTAACTTTATAGACCATAATTTAACTCCACCTTGCATTAAAAAAAATAAAAATAAAAAAACTACCTATAATCCAATATAATACATTAAAATCTAAAGCATATAGACTGTAGTCCATTTTCAATTGATAAAAATATTTCCAAAAAAATACAAATAAAATAAAATAATACTTTTGAATTCTACAATTATAAGGGTATTCAAAAAAAATAAAAATTATGCAATTTAATGCCAATTATATATGATCTTAGATCTAAAGCTGTTTACTGCCAAAAACATTTAAGATGAATTTTGGTCATTGAAGCATAATGTTTGTAACTAATTAAACTAAATCAATTTTTCTTGTGATTGTGATGCAAAGAAGAAAATCCTTCTAATAATACTACATTTATTTAAAGCAAGTTAAATAAGACACAATCATGCAAAATAGCTTGTACATACCAAAGTCTGAATATTACAATCTAACAGTTTATAAAATCATATATTTTGGTTCGAATATCATACAAAAATATAATAATAGCAGCTCCAAATCATAAACTTGATAATTGGTACCATGGTTGTAAGACAGGCTTTTCGAATTATGTATCTTTAAAAAATTGCCAAATAGATGAATTTGCAAATACATGTATGGATAGATATGTGGATGGAACTACAAACAAATACATTGTCATTTAGATGAATGAAAAAATAAACAAATAAACATCTCTAACTCTACATATATATATATATATATATATATATATAAGACTAGACCATAATCAAATAAGATACATATATTTTTATTTATATTTTAAAAGAATCTTAAAAAGTTTAAATTTTTCATTATTTTTACATAAACTACATACATGCAATAACGGATGTGTGAAAGGGTATCGAAGGCATCGTTACTCCATGCTCTGCGAACAACGAAGAAGCTTCCGGGGAACCATGAGCAACCCGGAATCCACAAATGCAGATATTTTCTAAAATGAGCGTATCGGGGTAGATATTGGTAGATTTCACATGAGCTGACAAATATCGAGAGGAGGCAATCCATGTTGGGGGGGGGGGGGGGGATTATCCACAGAGATGGAGTGCCGGGATCGTGCGAGGCTGCTCCGCCAGTGAGCATCGCCTGCCGCTCCTCTCTTCCACTTGGGCTAGCGCGTCTCCCACCATCGCCCCTCCCTCCCTCGCTTGATTCTTCACATCGTTCCCATTTTCCACTGAGCTTTCTCATCACCCTGCAGTAGTGACCTGTCCATTGTTCTCTCTTTCCCACCGCTCTGCCGCGCCTGCTGCGATGGCCATGGCAATGGCGGCCTGTTCATCCCTGGCTGCAGCAGCAGCCGCAGCAGCTTCTTCTACTTCTTCTTCTTCCGTCTCGGTGGTCCAATCCCCGTCCCCAGCTTGCCAGCTGCGAGGCTTCCCCTGCTTGATGCAGACCAGCTCCCACCGGTAAGTATCCCTGGTTCGTCGTATACCCACCTTCGGAGTCATGTAGGGCATGCACTTGTTCGTCGCTGGGAAGTATTTACCTTCCTGAAGGCCTTGTGGTTATCGAATTGTGGCTGTATTTTTATTTTTATCGAAGTTTGGAGCTGGATTTTGATTTGCCGTTTCGGAGGCGACTTGAACGGAATATCCGAGCTCTGAAAGTCTTTACTGGGTTTGGGGCAAATTCTTAGGCAAGGTTTAGTGCTCGCGTTTACATTATTGTCTGTGCTCACTCAACTTACCGCCCCATTCAATCTTACGTTAGGAGTCTTCGTCTGATTTCGAGTATTATTTCAGCTTCGAGGATGGGTATGTTGCTTTGCAATGGTGGCGAATGTGTGTCGCCGTTACTCTCTGTTATCGTTACAAAATTGAAATCTGAAGTTTGGTTTGTTTTTGGTCTTTTTGGTCTTTCGGTGATTGTAAACCTCTTACATGATCTTGAAAGCCCAAATTAAATTTACGAAATCCATTCAATGTAGTCCACTCGTCCTAGAATTTATTAAGTACTTGAAGAGACTTTTTCCTTCAAATCTCCAGCAGACGGAGAGTAATGTAAGAGTTCTCCCATTGTAACCACATGCAGTGCAGACACAAGTGTACTCGCCTTGGCCCTTTCCTCACACTCAATGCCTTGGCATGTCAAATGAAAATTTGCCGGAATAACACATTGTTCTGTAATGTAGACGGTCATGTACCCGACTAAGGAGTTTCCAAAGGTACATTGGCACTCGGTCGTCGCTCTCAGAAACTCAAGCCCCAATCGGAGCACGAGCTGGAGTGCAGTATTTGGATCAGGAGGAAGCCAAGAAAATGGTTTCTGAAGAAGGCTACACCGTCGTTGACATCCGAGATGGTTCGCAGTATGATCGCTCTCACATTGCCAAGAGTGTACACGTACCTCTTTTCATTGCAAATGAAGACATGGATCCTGGTATCACGAACTGTACCTGCCCATTGATACGAAGCATCTCTGCTTTTGTGGATACGTGTCTCATGTGTTCAGAATGTGCGAGCCCTTTAGACAAGAATTGTTTGTTAGCAGTCTTTATGGCCTTGTTTCCACATTTCGAAATTTATTTTATGAACCAAGGCATGCAGAAGGGGGTTCCTCATTTGAGTAAGCGGTTCTTTTGAGCGCAGGAACTCTCATCAAGAAGTTCGCCCATAACAGCTTTGCGGGAGCCTTTTATGGGTTAGCGTTCACTAAGGAGAACGACGACTTTCTTCCAACATTTGAGCGTCAGTTTAAGAAAGACGACAAGATCTTGCTTGTTTGCCAAGAAGGACTTAGGTTAGTTATCTCATGTTCAACTTGATATAATGGATTAAGCTCTAGCAGGAACACACTGAGACCGCCCTTAAATTCATGTTTTAAGTGTGCACTACACATTCATTCCTTCTGGAAATTGTCCCTAGTTCATTCGTGACGCTGTAATTAGAACTGGATGCAGTTCAACTGATTACATCAGTGTTTACAATACAGATCCGGTGCTGCTGCTGAGAAATTAGAAGAGGCAGGTTATCAGAATGTAGCATATCTCATGAACGGGTTGCAGAAGGTGCAACCAGGTAACTTATTCTGGACCCAGTCTGCATTGTAGCCGCTCAGCTGCGACTTTTATGCCAAATTGAGTTTTAGGTTGTTTACCAATGATTCATCTTCATATTGCATCAACCTGGCTGTGCCAATAGCCCAAGAGTTTAGAATTTGCCTTGGCTGTTATTTTGACCAGGTACATTTGAGAAGGAGGGACCCAAGGAGTTAGCCGACGCAGGCAAAGCAGGTCTCGTTACAATCCAACAACCATTCTCGGTTGTCCTTGGATCACTTCTTATATGTGAGTTCCCTTAAACCTGACTTACTCTGCGTTGCTTTAATTTTGGAATAAAATTGCATGAGGATTATTTTTGGAAGTATATTTATTCTTCGACTAAACGCTGGTCCCGCTTCCAGCATAGAACACGTATCACAAGCTTCTATTCATTGTCGGTTATTTTTCTTGGTTACGTTGTTCTACTCCCGTTCGATTCTAACTTCTGTGTGCGTTTTTCCTTCTATTTATTCCAGTGGCACTCCTCTTCTTGCAATTTTTCCCCGACCAATCACAGCAAATACTTAAAGCTTTCATGACGCAGTGAGTCAACTGCCCCAATTCAAATGGGTTATTCTTTGAGAACCAGCATGGTGTCAACAGACGGTCGACCTCCGAGATTATGAATCTACCCTTCCTATGGTAATGGAGCCAACTATTCTGTGTGCAGTAGTTCTTTACTACAGTATATAAGGAAGCATGTACGATTAAGACTCAAGCAGATAATTGAAGGCACCGCAGCTTTTTGGGGGGTTTTTTCAGAGTTGCTCCTGTTTGCATTCGAATCCATGATTCAGAAATTCCTCGTCTGCCACTCTGTTGATAATGTTCCTGCCCAGGACGCTTTTTTAGTTTTTTTGTAATTTTTTTTTGTGATGGGGGTTAGATGAGTCGTATTATTTCTGCATGGAATGAATCCTAGTACCAACATACGAATGCTAGATAGAACATATAGATACGTTTAGTGTCGCACAACCCTTTTAAAAAGTAGTGTAACAATTTCGGCAAATTTTGAAGCATTAGGAAAAAATTCTTAGGAATAAAAACATATATCAATAATGTATTAAATGTTGACACTTCTAGATTTCTGATAAATAACGTGTCAAAACGGAAGTTATACAAGGTGATAAGAAGTACCCATGAATTGAACCATACCTGTAATGTTTTTCTAAAATCACGATAGTTGCAATTACGAGTACTCCAACACAGGTGAAACTTCCTGAAATTAAAATACTATTAGTAATCCTAACCAGACGAAAATCACATTCTTTGTATCCAGAGCTAACGGTATGCAGTTTGGAGCATGATTCAATTTGAATCGATAGTAATATATGCGTTTAAAATTTACGTAGATCTCAAAAAGAATTATCACTTTCATCAGATATCAAATCATTCCATTCGTACTTTTTGCAAGTTGAATTTTATGAAGAAATCAGTCTATGTCAAAAATCTTTATAATAAGAATAACATTTGACTATATATATATAATTTTTTTTTATATACATTTGTTTATTTATTTACTCATTTATGAGTTTAAGAAACTACACTCTTGTTTCTTAATTTCAAAAAGTATTTTCAAATTTTGTATAAGGAAACTTCTGTCAAATATTCATTTTTTTTATGTTCTTGCAAATTTTTTTGGTACATTCTTTCAATAATATTCATGTCAAATCTTTTTGAATATTGAATATTGATTTATTTTTTGATTCAATAACCAAAATGGTTAAAGTATTTTTAGATGTGATATGAAAAAACAATTAGTTAAAAGAAAATATTACTAAATAATTTTTTTTGACATCAATAATATCACAATATAATGTAATTTATTTAATTATCATTTTTAGGTATAGTCATTGATTGCGTTAGTTCATGGTCTCCCAATAGAAATATTTGAATGGTGATTGTAGCTAGTCAATCAGGCCTAGCATTTTATTACTTTGGAACCTTTAACTAGTTGCACTCTTATAATTTTTTTTGTAAAGGAAGTCACTAGTTTTTCTTGAAAACAATTATATATTAGATGTGTTGTTTGACACTTATTATGCCTTCCTAAACATTACTAAAAGTCTTGGTATTAGAGAAACTATTTATTTATGTTGCTAATTATTTTGTTTTTAATAAAACATTTATTCTTCATTGTTATTTATGGATTTATACTTCATCATGCTATTAGAGCTTTAGGTTGATTTTGGATATTTTAATTTCTTTATTACAATCAATTAACTAGTCTAAGAAAGATATATTTTTTTAATAATATTTTTCTCTTACTTAATTCATAATAGCTATTTAAATTGTACTTTATGGCTAATTCTAGTGGTACTAGTACAAGCACTAGAAATCCTCTACTTTACAGTGACACAATACAATCCAATGCTTGTGCTAATTTCTTTGAGAAGATTGTAGTTTCTATAGCAAAAGTTAATCTTTCTAAAAGTTATTACTTTATAGGAGCTGTAAACTATGATATGTGATTCTTTAGAATTAAACACAAACTTCTTTGAGATGGCTGATTCATTTATTACATCATGCTTCCATCTTTTCTAATAGAAATTATAGAGTTCTTTGAGAAATCTAGATATATGAGCTTATTCATGAAGAATGGTAAACAATTAGGCTTAAACCTTCTAAAATGATACAACAATTCTTATGCTTATTGGACAACTCTTAAATAGCAATATAAATTAAATCATAATTTGAGATAAATTATATTAATAGATAAATTCTTAAGTCTTAGAAAAAGTGAAATTATATCTATAGACGAACATCTAATTGAAGTTAAGAATGTTGCAAATCAATTTGAGGAAGTTCATTAAGGATTATCAAAAGATATCTTGATTTATTTTATGCTTAAACATCTTCCAAAAAAATTCAAAGTATTTCAATGTATGCATATGAAAAGTCTTCTATCCTATAATGACTTAGATGCCAAGCTTTTAGGAGAAGAAATTACACTATGTTAAAACAACAAAGAAAAAAGAATAGAAGTACTAATAATAAATTATTTTGGCATAAGAAGGTCAACTTATTTAACTAGCCAAAAAGAATAGACTGGCTAGTATCATCTCACAAATTGCTCTCAATTAAACAAAAGAATTTTAAAATTTTCTTCATGACATCTATTATATCACAATACGCAATCTTAATTAATACAATCTTAATTACAACATTAAGCTTGCAACTCCAAATTTCCTTACTAAGAAACTTATAACTATTGCTTATAAAAGAGACAACTTGAAAGAGAATACAATATCAAAGCCATGGTTGGCAAAGCAAAAGATATATTCAAGAACAAAGCACCATCTAGTACAAATAAATTCCACTACTTCTATTGAAGATATTGCATATCATGAGAATATTCATTTAGTAGAACTATTTATACAACTAAATGCCATACCTAATATTGAAGCATGTATAATTACATATGACCATATTTACTCCAATACCATCAACTCATGACAAATTAATAGTGCTTCCTTGTGGTATCTTGATTCAAATGCTACTTACTATATTACAAGGAATCAACATATTTTTTTAAAGTTATATTTTAATTTCACTACAATAATCAAGATGATTGGTAGGTACAACCATCATGTTCTTGGTATAGAAACAGTCGATATAAAATTTCTATGTGGCAATATTAAAACCATCAACCATATACTTAAATTTTTAGTGTCCCACTAAAAAATATTTGTTTAGTGGGCCATTTGTAAATTGGAATTATAATCTTAAATTCGGTTTTGAAGGTTGTATCATTTGAGATAATACCACCAAGTCAACTATAGCTCTTGTAATATAAGAAAATGTCCATGGTCTCTATTCGCTTCAAGGAAATATTCCATTGTTTGATATTTAAGTTAATACAATAAGAGAAGACTAACCAACAAAATTTGATATCTGAAATAGGTACTTTGGTGACTTCCACGAAAAAAAAAAAGAAAAGAAATGTACCATATGATATTCTCAGGTATTGTCTATAAGTTATTTAATCTATGCCTTACAAATTGTCCATGTATGAGTTATTTTTCATGAAAATAGAGCTGCATCAAATAACTAAAAATAGCTAAAATATGCTCTGAGCATCTTCTTCAACTTATAGCCCCTTCAAGATTTCATTAGTGGGAGGCTTTAGATTCTTTATCATCTTTATCAACAACTTTTCTTATAAAATAAGGGTGTACTTCATTATATGGAATGACAAGATTCTAACAAAATTTAAGATATTTTGTGCCAAAGTCAAGAATGATGAGCTAAAATCTACACACTATATTCCAACAATGGAGGCAAGTATATTTTTGCTTAATTCACTATATTTTGCCAAGAAAATAGAATTTAACATTAATTTATTGAGTTTTATATGCTTACTTAAAATAAAGTGATAGAATAAGAAAAAAATCATTGATGGACATTATTAAGTATCTTTTATTAGATAAAAACCTTCCATCCTTTCTTTAGAGCTAAGTTGTTTGAGTTGCATTTCAAATTTTTAATCTTTAATCTATAGCCAAATTATCAAATAAAATTCTAAAAGAGTTATTTAGAGGCCACAAATCCTCAATAATATATCTCTACATTATTGAATCAATAATATTTGTATATGAAAACACCTCTTACTAAAGAAAATTAATAGAAAAATCAAAAGAATGTCTTCTCATCAGCTTTAATGACAACGCAAAAGTACATTAGTGTTATCAACCATCCAAAAAATATGAAATTATCTTTAGTAATACTTGCATTATTGAATCTATTCATATTGATATTAATTCAAAATCACCACTTTATTTTTTTGATAGTATTGACAATTTTTGCTATCATTCCTTATTTCTAGAATAATCAATCATTCATATATTACATAGATTAGAAATTTTGGTTTTGATGATATTGTTCAACATATCACCACTACTTCTACTATATTCACTAAATCTTTACCATAAAATATAACTCAATTCAACTACTTGATACCAAATATAAGTCTAGTCTTACTACTTATCACCAGCCCTAAAATAATACTTCAATGTCTTTGTCAACTGTTTAGGTAGATCCACTCCTTTAATGAAGTATACACGATTGCACCATTTTTTACTATCTCAAAGGCTACAATGTCAAATTAATCATTGTCACTTTTTTCAAATCTTTTCTTCTTGTCTCTACTACCATAAAAGATTTATAACATCATGACATTTTTACTAATCCAAATTGACAAGTTGCAATTTGCATTGAATACAACTTTATCATATGCAATCTCATATAGTCATTATAGAAACTTCTACCATATAAAAAAACTATCATGACTTAATAGGTCTATAAATTAAAGTCAAGTTTTACAAAAAAAACTTCTATGCTATAAAGTAAGATTAATAATACATAAATTCAAACAAAAAGTTGGTATCAATTACTACAATATTTTTTTTCAAGTTGTAAAAGAAGAAAAAATTTGGCTTATTATCACGGATATACATATTTATCTTGATAATTATTTAGATAATAAAAATAGATAGAAGTAAGTCAAAGTAGATAAATATGATAATATCTTGTAGAAAGCTTCCTAAAAACTTCATAGACGCTGTTTTTTCTTTATACATGTCTATAGATGATTAATAGGTTGAAAACTTAGCCAACAAAGAAGCCATATATTGACATATTGACCACTTGTAGTACAAGTTGGACATATGGTGCACACTTGGAAAACTTGCCTTACAAATTAGACATATGCCTTGCAAGTTGGACACGTATTAGAGGTCCTATAGCATGTCACCACATATTTCTTAATTAAATAGTAT